GATCAGCCACACACATACAAAAGCTAACAAGTTACTCCTGAATTGAGCAATTCAATTGAAAAGAATATGAGACTCACTTATTAAGAAATTGAGTCTCAAGATGAGAATATGAGTTCTTGTATACAATGAGAGTTCTGAGAAGTTTCAACCTAGATGATTTGAGTCATATAAAATACTCAAATCATATTCTCTGAGAATGTATATATTAAAAGAATCAGAGAAACAGATCTTATACAACTTAATCAATGATTCACAACTTATAAAAGTAAAGATGCAAGACTTGAGCAGATTATAGTTATTCACAGCACTATTATCAGCATTGAAAAAGAAGAGACTTACAATTGAAAAGTCTTACAAAGTAAGAGAAATCATAGACACTTACAAATCAGATAATCTCACTTATTTCAATCTTTTCACAATTATAAGAAAAGAATGAGAAGAAATGAAGAAATCAGATAAACATTACACTTCAATAAGTGATGAGACTGTAGCTGATTGTATAATAACACATCATAGATAGCAGATACAACATGACAAAGAACAGTCTCAAAGCAGCAGACTTACATATGAATCAGATCACAGAAGAAAAAGAAATTCAGAGTTGAATTCAACTGTTTACATCAGTTTAATTGTGAAGATTACAGAGGATGAACTATCTGAAACATCTGTGAATGTATGAGACCAAGTCATCTTAATCTCTGAGAACACTCAGAGATTGAGTGAGATTAGTTTCAATGAGCTGTTCACTGTAGTGATCTGAGCAGGTGAAGAGAGACAGTATAATGTATAAGACAGAATCATAAAAGATGAAAGCTGCTGAATCTAGTCATTAAACACTGTATTATATAGAGGTCACATAAGAGTAGTGACTAGTAGATAAAGAAAAAGTATAAGAAAAGAGATGATGAATTGATTATCAATTATAAGAATCAGCTGCAAAAGATAAATATTATCATACACATCTCATTCATTTTCATACATCACATATTTAATCTATTTTCAACATTATCTGAAAAACATCAAAAACAAAGAAAGATCTCAAAACTCGAGATTTGCAAGAGATTCAAGAGCTGTAAGTCACTCTTGTAACAATACTGTGCACATCTCTGATTTCTCTACTGCTCTGTGTACACATTAATGTTATTTATTGCAAGATTGACTGAAATGATAATATAGAAATGTGTATACGTACACATAGAGAAATTGAGAGAGCACAGAATTCACAGAATC